TATATTGCAACTATTTAGAAAAAATTAAATTTTACGAAATCAAACGCAAGAGTTTTTATTTAAAAATAAACAAAAGTTGTTGGTAAAATAAACAAGTTCTTATTTTTTCTAAAATCCCATTCACTGAAATGCTTCTTGTTAAAATAATAATACATTATTATGTCTGTATATAGCATGCAGTTATTATGTATATTTTAAATATTTTACAACAAGTTTTGTCAAAACTGTAAGCTATATAATATGTATTTTACTTTTTGAGATATATGTAACTTTATTTAGTTGCAAAAGTGAAAATATAGTTTCTTTAGAACTTTTCTAAAGATACTTTTTTAAAATTATTTTATAATTACCTATAGTTTGTTCACCCTTATATAAATATGTTTGCTCGAGTCAGTACATTTTCAAGATAGGTATTAAAAAAAAAATCCACTTAAAATAAATCTCTCGGACAGCAAGTAAAACATTAAAGACGAAATTCTACTAAAAAATAATGAAGGAAAATCTATAGGAAAAAAATAGGTATTTTAAAATACTACTATAGAGGACTATTTATTTGGGTTTGCATTAAGCGCATTTCATACTAGTTAGTTTTTGTAGTGGCGTCATGAGAAAATATACTCAATTGTTTTGTGTAGAAAAGTTTTGGATGATATTGAAAAACGGTTTTATTCGAGACAGTTTGTGCTACTTCTATATAATAAATTATTCTGCTCTCCTACATTTTCGAAATCTTGATATTGAAACTAAACAATCTAAGTTAAATAATAAAAGTACATGTAAAAGTAATTACCGCTTTTATATCACGTAATATAATAAAAAATGTACAGAGAATAGAGATATACATGATGATTGGAGTACTCTATTTTGACGTTTAAAAGTTGACTTGATAAATAATATCCAGAAAGGGACTTCATATAAGCCTCAGATTTGTTTTCTACCTTTGTGTATGCTAAATATGTATGTATATGAAAACTATCACAACATTATATTAAACATTCAACATTGTCCTCTCTTTCTATAGGGTCTTATCATACACTTTGAAGTATATTGGCACATGCAGCTACGAGTACGCGTAGTCAAGTTTTATATTTTTACACTTGACTATGATAGATTTCGATTCTCTTTCTAATATTTAGAAATCCTAAAGGATACATACGTTATTGTATCGCTCAATGAGCTAAATACAGTATAACTGTACAGGAACCCGTATTTCCTAAAATTTACATATGAGCGATATATGCTTCTCCCTATCCGAATTGCCATTACGTTTCCGAAATCCATAAATTTCTGTGTTCATAGTAAATCGGTAATAATTCACTACGTCGAAAGACAAAATTATATACATGTCATAACTACAGTGTACCGAGTCTAGATACAAAACAGAAACTGAGATCTGCCATATCCTTCGTTATAGCCTGTTAAAGCAGTTTAAATCGGTTTGTAGAAGCGATTTAGAAAAAAATATACTGTCAAAAACAGGAATGAATATAATATATATAAAATGTATGTTTATGTATATATATACAATATTATTGTTGTGGTCATTTCAAATAGTTGAATATACTCGCTTACAGTTAGATTTAAAGGTTTCCTTAGTACATATGAAGCATGTATTTAACGCTGCCAAAATCACGTAATACCATAGCCACACAAGCAGGTACTGTGCTGATAACTCCAACCGATGGTTGGTACTCTTAAAAAAAACAAAATAAAAGATTTTTGATTAAAGTTAATACTTTGAGACTAATTATAATATATTTAGTAAAAAATTAACACACTATTCAGTATAATATAATATATCTATTAATTTCTTTATTTTATTTATATAATATACATATTACATATATTATAGGTAGGTATATACTATGAAGTTTAATGTTAAAATGTTTATAAAGTAACACGTATTGTAACATGGGTAATAATAAATTATACTACATAAATATTATTCACTTCATAGTCTTATATGTTATTATATTTAATCAAAAGTATTTTTGGTGTATTTTTTACTCAGAAAAATGTGTTTGATATCATGTATCTAAGTATTCTTCTGTCTTAAAAAAAAAAACCTAGTGCTTTTGATCATATTATATAAATTCAGTGTTAATCTCGCATTTAAAATCAACTCCTATATTATATTCGACAAAGTTGTCAGGTGCATCATAATAATAATAAGTTATAGCCAAAATAAACTGTTTATGTTTTAATAATAAATGTGCAAAAAACTTTATTAGAGGGTGGTTATGACAATCTGTCGGATATATTTTCCTGTACATCATTAAGGCGTGTGACAGCCAGAGGCTGATGACGATGTGGTCAGATGATTGAAATCGGTTACGTCGTTTATTTAATCGTTCTGTTTCGTAATATCTCAAATAATATTATTAGTTTCTGACAAGAACTTCAGATTATGCTCGACTTTAAATTATTACGGAAAATTTCGTTTAAGAACTTTTGCAAAACGTGACAATCACGTGTCTCTATGTATTAATGGATAATGATATTATTATATCCATAAGATTTAGAAACATTTGATTATTATTTTACCCCGGGCAACTATATAGTTATTGATAATAGTTATGCCTACAATAGCGTCGATTGATTTTTAATAAGCTCAAATTAAATGTAGTAACTAATAATTATTGCTTCGATTACATCAAATTGCATAGTATTGTTAATAAATTACATTGTTTTTAGAGTTTACAATAGTTTTGATAATAATTATTAATAGTCACAAACATTGTGACATGAAAGGACTAGAATGAACGATTTACTGAAATAAATGTTTATGTTTACTACATTTAATCTAATATTGGTTGTACATTGAGTGACTCGAAAAGTTTTCAACGACATTTTTAACAATGGTAAATTTTTTAAGAAAAAAAATTATGTCCTTTGTATACCTCTTTCATTGTTGCCACCAATATGTAATACTTATTTTATTGTATCTAAAATGTAATTTTGACGGCAAAGGTGAAATATATAAATGGTGACTTTTTCATTGGAAAAATCAAAATTGTACAACAGAATGATGTTCAGAAGAAAGTTTTAAGTGTATTACAGAAATGTCAGTTTAGAAAAATTGTTTTACATTTTTTTGAAATGCACACTCATTTAAAAAGATTTGGTGCTGATTTTTCGTTTTTCAACCTGAAGACGTACAATTACACTTAAACCTACAAACTTTTTATTCTTTATCAAGTTACGTAAGAGCTATAGATTCAGTATATGACGTGTATGGCCAATAATACAAAAACTTTAAAAGTTGGGTTAAGTTATATACGATTTCAGAATATACTGTCAATGTGTAAAAATGCCATTCAATATTTATCGCACTAGAGTTCATGTTTTAGAATAATTGTTTTAAATAATATATTACAATAAAAAATTATACATTGCATTATTTAAGTTATGAACAATTAATTCGTTCGCATAATGTAAATTATTATAAATCATGTGAATCGAAATGCTTAACTTTTTTGGTGAGCTATGAAATTATTGACTTGCTGTTTAATTAAATTTGGAGAGTCGACCCATGTTTTATATGAAAAAGATACACAATGTAAATTTAGTTTATTAGTAAAACATCTATAGATAGGTTTTAAGTTCATAAGATTATACAAAAATTAAATCTGACTTTTCTTGTGTGATTAAACAATAAATAATTATACTTAAATTCTTTCTAAACTATCCTATATTGTATGTTTTAAATGTGTAGAATAAACCGTATGATTTGGTAGTCAAAAAAAAAAAAGAGTAAATAGAACTTTAAATAAAATCATAATATAATATTAAAATAAATGTTATGAAGAAACTACATTCACAAATGATAACAGTTGGTATTTTATTATTATTATTTTTCCTTCGAAGGCAAAAGCAACGCACTGCATCTAAGGCATAGTATAATGATTTTAACTAGATTGATTTTAAATATTATGATAAATTAATAATATAAAACGAACGTGTTTTTATCTTGTTTACACCAAAAACACTTCAGTCTGTGGTAGTCGGTATTCGCTTAATAACGATTCGTCCATCAATTTTCCACTATCTCATAAAAAAATGGTTTGTTAAGTCTGAAGAAGTATGGATTTAGAGTACCTTATGTCGGAAGTCGTTGCGTCAAAAAATGGTTCAAAAACAATCATAAAATAAAATTCTTATAACACTACAAAATAAATGGAAAACAGTTAGGATCGTCCGGTATATATTCAAAGTTTCAAAAAAACATGGCAACCGAGCCGGACATCCGCCGTAGTAGGTATTATAGACACAGACTGTTTGACAGCCGGAAAAATTTATGCCAACACGTCCATACCCTTCCTGACACTTCCGGTGGATCGTACCAATGAATTATGTATCGCGGTGAGGGGCCGGTCGGTTATAACGACAGAGAGACCATCGGTGAATCGGAATCGTTCTTTCTGGTTTGAATTCTTATAACCCAAAACTACACCTGTCACATTAGACAATGTCCAATTCCCACCTATTTTATATTCCTACCTGTTCATCCACCCCATCGTAAAGTATAAGCAAAATCATGTTGAGCAAAAAATTAAAGGAGAAAAAATGTTGCGAGCCTTGTCATGACTGACAACTGTCCGACATAAATCAGCCAGGTGAAGTAAAATTTTAATTTTATTTTCATACGGACACTATAGTAATTTATTACAATTGGCTGGATGTTGCATTTCTAAAGCACCTCGTATCCATTGCAAACGGTATTTACATTATTTCACGCCGTTTCCTCGACGGAATTATTTTAAATTGCACATTCAAATGTATTATAAAGACAAAGAACAAAAAAAAAATTTAATGATATATAACACGGACGACACTGACGCGTTTTCTACGCACTTTCAACTTTAGTAGAAAAAAAATGAAAAATGAACTCTATTCAAAGAAAGAAAAACATTTCAATATATAATCACCTTTTTATACAAACATAAAAATATACAAAAAAAATTACAATATTGATTGAAATGTATAATATTTTGTTGCAGATTCGAGAAATGCGTTGATGATATTTGAATAACGAAACATGGTGAGTAAAATATGTTTAGTATATTAAGTATAGAAATATAATATTGTATATTATTGGAGCAGTTGTGGGATAAATCTGAACTCCATATTATAACATTTTTCTTTATTTTATTTTTATTTTAATATTTGACTACCTATAAAATATATTTTAATACTGAGTAGGTATTCCAGATAAAATGACACTTTATTTTTCTATTTCTTTTATAAAAGATATTTTACTTTAAATAATAATACATTCCAGTATACTTAAATGTTTTGATTACAATAACAGTTTATACATCAAAAAATATGAATAATATTGTGGGAAGTTAAAATGAATAATTCGTCATGCCATGTGCATAACACCGAATAAAGTTGTTGTACCTATTTCTAATTAATCGATCAAGTTAAATAATAACAAAACAAAAAGTCGAATACGCTTTAATAAAATACAATAAATGCGTGTACAAATATATTATATACTTTGTTAAATGTTTTAACTTTTATTGAACCTGGTTGATTTAAAAAAAAAAAGGTTATTATTATTTTATTCATTAGTTTTTAATGTAATTACCGATATAATATAGATTTATATTTAGACACTTAATTATTTATTGTATTTCTATTTGGACTTTTTTTTCTATTATTAACACGACACCGATATTACACTTTAATGTAAAAAATGAACACATTGTCGTAAGCAACTGCAGTTTTGTCCACAAGTTAAGGGATATTAGGAAACATTCTAATATTTGGTATATATTAACTAGAAATGAAAATACTTAGAGACTAAAATTTAGCTTCAAACTGTAAAAATCTTTATTTATTTTTATTTTTTGATTGAAGAGTAAACTTTGTAATATATAATGTAACACGGCGCATTGATTATGCAATATGACTACAGAAGTGCCGTGGAAGCATAGCTTTTTATTATTTTCTTTGATAATAATATGATTAGGTACTCTATTTTACTAATATCATATATAAATATTTATTTTTTAATGGTTCTTCGTTTTATTAACGGTACATTTGCTATTATTTTACAAAGACATATTTCATATAAATTTTTAAAAAAACTTTCACAACAGTCAAATTCTGAAAATTATATTTTAATATGTTGATTCAATCTTCATCATATTTATTATTTACAATTTTTTATTAGATAACCACATAGAAGGTAGTTACTGTACAATTTTTGTTTTCATTTTTTGGAAATTTATTCGCTTTACGTAATCGCGAATCGTTTCTCATAACACTATAATACAGATAGTTGGATTATAATATATATATATTATATAGTGATATTATATCGCACGATATATTATTATTATGTTCGGTGATATTCGATCACGCTCTATATATAATATATAATATATAAACGGATTATGAGTGTATTCACTTTTCAAAAGCATATCGTTCGATAAAAAAAAAGCAAATTTAAACCTTTATACGTACTGGTTTATTTTTTCTCTCCGAACGAGGGGTTTCGACGTTTTTCATATATTTTGTCAACGTCTATTTACCATAAAGTTTAAATTGTTTTACGTCTTGATAAAAACGAAATATATCGCCGTACGTTCGATGTACATAGTGCGGGAAACAAGGTCACACTTTCGCTGCGGGAGCTAGCACGATTGTCGTAGTCTAATATGCACGCTCGCGGTGGCCGCGATACGTGATCGACCGATGCGCATAATACCTTTACACGGAGCCCCCAATACGTGTAACTATATGTACCTATATATTAAATATTATGTATACGTAATATCGTGATATATAATATTATACTCACAGCCACCCGATAGTGTGACCGACCGTATACCAAATACGACCGCGAACAATAATAACGGTAGTTACGACTTTGGAAAGTTTAACGCGCGCCGGTGGCGGTGGTGGCAAAGTCGTCGGCGGTAGCGGTGCACCGTGCGCCCTTTATATTAATATTATTATGGATCGCCAAAATGTTTTACGGCACACTACGACTGCAGCTTAACAGTATACACGTGAACGGCTCGTGGACTGTATTATAATATAATGCATTATAATAATAATATAATAACGTTAATAATAATAATAATAATAATAATAACTCGTCGGCGGATGCATTTTACGCGTCTCGAGCGCGCCTTCGCTCGGGCTAACGACCGCACTATAGCCAGCGTGCGCGGCTGTTCGATTCTCTATTGGCGGTGAGACCGACTCGGCACGTGGCGACGAAAATGCCGAATCCGTGTTTGCATCGAAAACTTTAATGACATCGCGAACCGTACCAGTGGAATTGGGGGAATTTTACAATGTTATTACACCGGAATAAATTATAAATGTGACAAAGTAAACGTTTTGTGACATTTCACAGAAAAAAACAAATCGAACGTACGTGTTGTTGAACGGTTCATACAATTGTTTCCATTATGCAGTCAAAAAAGCAACATAACTCGTGACATATTCCAAAATAGTTAAAGTATTATGTCCAAATTTGTTTTGTAATAATATAATATGTTATTGTGTTGTTTAGTTTCATTCTCGTGAAAATGAATGTTATAATTGTTGTTCCATCGAACCCACGAGAACATAATAACATATAATACGCAATATTATGTCCCTGAAAAAATGTAATTTTTCAAAGCGATGGGCAATAATTGTAAATTCAGGACTTAAAAAAAAACAATTAGTTTTACTAAGTCTTAATCATTGTTGCAAAACCTACTTAATGGAACATAATAATATAATGTATTATATTATTTTAAGCAAACAAAAAATATGAAATTAATATAACAAAATAAAATATTTTTTATCTGTTTGATTAAATAGTATACACTTTTTTCACCTAATATTTTAACATATTATCATCTATATGAGATCTTTGAGAACATATAAAAGTGTGAACAAGCTTTAATCTCTTTTGTGTCAGTGATTTAATCGTGACGTTATATTTTCGTGACCTGAGTACTTATACATTTTATATTTTTTTGTATTACTTGCAATCCTCTGTAACTACAGCCATTGTGTTTTCAGATTACAATAGATAAATATTATTCATTATTTAAATTAAAATTAATTTTTACATAATATATATATATTGCACGATTGCACATAATAAAGAACATTCATTTGAGCAAGTTGGTTATTTTGAGTAAAATAATTACTGAATAACTGAATACAAAACTTATACGGTTTGAGGAATTCGTATAAAATATTGGAAATTTTCATTTCCTTCTCGTGAGTATGGATTTCTTTTAGAATGTATTTTACCATGTAGTAAGAGAATATACCACAACTGACAGGAATACTGTTTGTTCTCCTCCCTTTTTTTGAAGAGATGTTGTACACTTCTACAACTCATATAGTATTATGACTGACTCAGAGCCAGCCGGCTGTCGACTGTCATTTTTTTCTGTTTTTATTGGATATTCTCAGTGAGAAAGACCACGGGACGGTACCTACATAGCTCTCTTAATTTAGTTTTGTTTTGAAATTTTTCGTGCCAATCACTGATGACGTCAAATCGTATTATTTTAATGCCGATAGTTTTTATTACATATGAGATTTATCGTCGTGTAAGGTTGGCTAAAAATATATCATCCGACAATATAGTAATATTACCTATATTATATACTGTAGCAGTTGGCGGTCCAATATGAATTTGTGGTCGAACGCGGTGGCCTTCGCAAGTATAAACGAATGCGTACTATTTCACAACCAACTTGCCGCACGTAGTATTACAATCGTAATAATAAAAACGTACGCCACGCTAAAAGGTCCGACTCGCCAGGGCGTCTGTCCCTCGGGGAGGCTTGGCGGTGGGATCGAAGGGGTTGAAGGATGGGTGGTGCGGAGTCTGTGCCGAACAACAAACAACGTGCCGCAAGGTCTTCTCCATATAATATTATACATTGCCACGTGAAATTAGCGGCTCACCGCCACACACGTGTTAAATACAACAATAGCATACAGGGTGATTGTCCGTACAATCATTTCTCGTTTTTCCAGCGACCAACTTAGATAGCAACCGGAAAACTCGCTGGTCCGTTCTTGTATAGTACGTTATGTATATTTTATACGAGTCGTAGGCAGTACACCCACTCTTCGGTACCGAGCGTATGGTATAAATATATATAAATGTGTGTGTGTGTGTGTGTGTGTGTGTGTGTGTGTGTCGTATAAACACGATGTCAATATCGGCCGGGTTCGGTTGGTCAAAATCAAATACTACGTATATATATACATATTGCGTGGATGGCTGTTGGACGATGGATAACTGCACCCGGATGGCGAATTTATCGGTTTTGACCGTTTCGTGCGTTAGTTTGAGTCTATGTCGTCTCGGTGAAAACGATGGCTGGAAAGCTATACTTTTTTCTTCTTAGATCTGTCTGTAGCGCATGTTAGTCTATCGATTACTAAACGTTTCTAGATTTTAACGATCCCATATTAATATAGTAAATATAATAATATATTATTAACATAAAATCGTTAATGGACTGAATGCTTCAAGATGTGGTTACGGCCCGATTTTTCGTTGTCATGGTTATACTTATTATACTTACTGAGCATATTTTTTACCAAGTGTATACAATTTATTAACAAATAAAAGAAAGAAAATAATATTTTCTTAAATTATTTCCTTAAAAGTAGATATATTTCAGAAATTATGAAGTCTAATATTATACTACCATGGAGAATTCGGAGAACGGAAACACAATGAGTTGGAACAAAAAGAGTTTGATCAATCCGTTATTAATAATTCTTTTAGTTAGGTTAAAGAAATATTCACTCGTAATATTACAAATATGACTATAATGAATTATATATAATTATAATTATATTATCTCATAATTTTCTCCTCAGTCCTCAGCAACCTTTGATAAGTGTAATTGATATAAAAAATGAATGAGCAAATAAATACAAGCAATTGAATACAATACAAATTATGTTTTATTTGACTGACTTCATTTTTTTATCACGTTTTTGTAATTAAGTTAAAATGTAACATATTGCATAACACTCTACTCTATATATTTT